TTTTAGCTTCTAATTCAACTACGTGCTGAAAAATCTAAAATATGCTTCTTAAAATATGCAATAAAATGTAAGCTAATGATTCCTGGACACTGTATAGGTCGAAATTTGGACGACCACGACCGTTACTGAGTGTAGCAAAGAACGAGGTCTTTATGATGCAGTGTCCTTCGATCATTATGAAGGGTGACAACTAATGGTAGCTAGAGAATGCACGGCGTCTGTTGTAGTGTTAGCATGATAGGGAATAATAAGAATATGCCTTTCGAATATTCCTTGTGTTGTACCTTTATTAGGGTAAAAAGGGGGAATGTCCCCTATAAAAAAAAGGAGAACACTCTGTAATGGGGACTTGGCTTATCACAAATCAAAATCCTTACATCATCATGGGTCTTGACTAATTGCATTCATTGCTATATTCTCTTACATCTGAAATTCTCGCATTTATGAATAATCATTTGGTTCCAACATACTAGGAAGCATCGTTCACCTTGTCTTTCTCTTACACTATTCAATCCAGATTTTATTACACTTAGCTGAGATTTACCTCATCACCTTCGTTAATTGATTTAATAAAAAAGGTTTCAATATCTTTTGGGTCAAACAATTTGGCGTCGTCTGTGGGGATTTCTTTAGCTAAGATTTTAGTTTCATCTAGCTTTGCATAAACTAACGCTTGAAAGAGATAATCGCCTCTTCCTAGCTTTGCACAAGTTAACAATGGTAGGGAAAGGAGATACAAGGCTGAAAGCAATAGTAGGTGTCTCAACCAACGTCCTAAACACCATCGATGAAGACATCATGGAGGAGAATGAAAACGGAACACCAAATGCCACACCTAGAGGAGAAGCTTCACCTCCCTCACATGAAAGCGTAACCGCTTCGCGCGAGAAGGAAGCCTCCACATCCGCAACAGGAGAAGCACCACCAGCTGTGAAAAGGCTATTGGAAGAGTGGCTGACAAACACTCTGAGCAACATACTTGATAAACCCGTTCAAAGGGACATTGGAGGCACAATACACGCAGACACCGTAACAGTCATCGGTGAACTAGAAACTCCACGCACAGGTAACACTCATATTATTGTTGATGCAGGTAACGACCCACTCGTAGCCATCCTAAAGAAAATGGAGGAAATAGAAAATGAGAACAAGGCGCTCTGTGATCAGATGAAGGAGCATCAAGAAAGGGTTGATAAAATACCGGGCGCTCCGAAGTTGCTACCAAAATAGGACGTCGATTGATTCGTAGAGCAACCATACAATGAAGGGGAAGCCCCCACGCCATTCCAAAAATCTTCAAAATGCCACCATACTTGAACATATATGACGATGCTTCGGACCCGAAAGATCATATAATCCACTACGTCACAGCCGTAAAAGGCAACGATCTATCGAAAGAACAAGTGCCATAGGTGCTGCTGAAAAAGTTCGGTGAAACCCTGACAGGGGTAGCGCTGACTTGGTGCTCACAATTGCTAGCACGATCTATAACAACATTCGAAGAAATGGTAGACAAATTTGTCACCGCTCATGCAGGAGCAAAAAAGACAGAAGCCACGGTAAATGACATCTTCGCCATTAGGCAGACGATGGGCGAGGGACTCAGGGACTTCCTAGCTAGATTCAACATGGTGAGAATGAGCCTACCAAACGTATCAGAGGGGATGGTGGTAGCTGCCTTCCAAAACGGGTTAAGCAGGAATGGGTCGAAAGCGACCAAAAAGTTGTTAAATAGGTTCATGAAATACCCTCCCACCACTTAGGTAGAAATCCACAACACCTATTATGCCGAAGTAAGGTCAGACGAGGACGACCTTAATGGTCCGATCTAACGGCTAACATCAGTCCAAACTGAAACAAGGACAGATCGCCGCAACGATGGCCGAAGGGATCAACTACCCCATCTCAATCGAGAGAGTCATCGGCCTTACATCTGGACATGCATCCCACTTCCTCCATGACACATAGACATCACTCCTCGACATGCCGCGCCATACCAAAACGAAAGAGGTATTCTTCCACCATTATCTGCTCATAACTTTTGTGTTTCTCCTTCAGAAATAGTGTATGCACTAGAGTAGCTCGGCACAAAGGTGGAATCACCGCAAAAGATGAAATCCGACCCGAGCACCTGGAAATTGAATGTTCTGTGCGAATTCTATTAGGAAAGGGGGCATAAGACCGAAGACTGCATAGGCCTGCGGCAGGAAGTAGTAAGAATGCTAAACCAGGGATACCTGAAAGAACTGCTGAGCGATCGAGGACGGGATAACTTCGCTCGAGGGCGCGATCAGCCTCAGGGACCCCTAAAATGACCTTCACCCGCTCGTATTATACAGATGATCATTAGCGGCGGCGATGATACGACAATCAACCACATAAAGTTCACCACTACACACAAACTCAAACGATCAATCGCTCGCGAACAGTACGATGACCTCGAAGATAGTATCATCTTCGATAAATCATATGCCGATGGTTTGTCTTTCCCTCACTATGATGCTCTTGTTATAAATTTATGTGTTGTGGATACCGATGTAAAAGAATAATGGTGGATGATGAAAGCGGCACGTGTATTATCCATCCTCGAGTCCTCGTACAGATGAGACTCGAGGATAAAATAATACCACGTTGCCTAACACTAACGGGTTTTAATAATGTAGTTGAACGAACCTCTAGAGAGATAGTGTTGCCCGTTCTAGACGGAGGAGTCGCATTGGAAACAACGTTTCACATCATGAACCAAGAAACAACCTATAATGCTATCATAGGGCGCCCATGGATACATGCCATGCGGGCCGTCCCATCAAGTTTCTATCAAGTAATCAAATTTCCTACTCTATAGGGAATATTCAGAATCTGGGGCGAGCAACGCACTGCCCAAGAATGCTACCGAATTGCCCAGGATTGTGTACACACCCAGAAACTAAAAGGAGCAAGTGTGGAAGCATAGCAGTCAGCCATACAGGGAACCAAGCCCGATGTACAAATAGAGGCTATCAAAGACCCGGACGTTGTAAAAGCCTGCGAGACAATCATAGAGGACCTCGATCCCGTCCAACTGGACAATAACGATAGCACAAAAAAACTTATATCGGGCACAACCTCTCAGAACCAGGTAAGTTCCATGAATTCTTAGCTGACAATGCCGATTTGTTTGCCTTCTCCCATTCAGATATGCCGGGCATCCCAAGAGACATCGCCACACACAAGCTGAATGTTGACCCCCTCTACCCGCCTGTGCAACAAATGAGGATAAAGTTCAATATCGTAATCAATGACGCAGTTAACGAAGAAGTCGATAAGCTACTTGCTAATGGCTCCATCCGAGAATCAAAGTATCCTCAGTGGGTCGCTAATGTGGTCATGGTGAAAAAGAAAAATGGAAAGTGGCGGATGTGTGTCAACTTTACCGACCTAAACAAAGCATGCCCGAAAGATTCCTTTCCGTTACCACACATCGACCAGCTCATTGATGCAACGGCAGGGAACAAGTTGCTAAGCTTCTTAGATGCCTATTCTAGTTACAACCAAATTCTAATGGTAGAAGAAGACCAAGAAAAAATTACTTTTATCACTCACCGAGGAACGTACTGCTACAAAGTCATGCCGTTCGGAGTCAAGAATGCGGGGGCAACATACCAAAGGTTAGTCACCAAAATGTTCAAAGATCAACTCGGCAAGACCGTAGAGGTCTACATCGACGACATGCTAGTGAAGTCGAAAAGGAAAGAAGATCACATCGATCATCTGAAGGAAGACTTCGACATACTGAGGTAATACGACATGAAATTAAATCCCAAAAAATGCACCTTCGGTGTAAACTTGGGTAAGTTCCTCGGCTTTTTGGTGTCGCGAAGAGGCATCGAGTTCAACCCAGATCAGATCAATGCCATCGAAGGAATACCAGAAACATTAACCAGCAAAAAGCAGGTACAATAATTGACAGGATGAATAGCCTCCCTATCAAGGTTCATCTCACGGTCATTAGATAGATGCCATCAATTTTTTAATGTATTAAGGAATGATCACGGACTTTAGTGGAATTCAGAATGCATCGATGCCCTAAGAAAACTAAAAGCGTACCTGTCCTCACTGCCATTACTCTCCAAAGCAGATCCAGGCGAGTGCCTCCTGGTATACCTAGCGATCTCCGAAGTCGCAGTAAGTACAGTTTTAGTCCGAGAAAACAAAGGTACACAATCTCTAGTTTACGATATCAGCAAAACCTTAATTGATGCCGAAACGAGATACCCCCACCTTGAAAAATTGGCTCTGGAATTAGTCATAGCTTCATGAAAGTTTAGACCATATTTCCAATGCCACACCATAAAGGTGGTAACAACCTTCCCACTTAGGAGCATCCTGCACAAACCCGAGCTATCGGGCAAGTTGGCCAAATTGGCCAAAATTGAGCAAGCACGACATAACATATCAATCGTGAACTGCAATAAATTTACAAGTGCTCACTGATTTCGTCGTCGATTTCAGCGCAGAAATACTGCCCGAGGTTGAGCAAGAAGCGCTTTGCACTTCTGCACGATCCGACCTCTGGGTTCTCTACACCGACGGCGCATCTAATGCATCAGGATCAGGACTGGGACTCGTCCTCGAAGTCCTTACGAGCGAAGTGATTTGCCAATCCATACGGTGTCCCAAAATGACTAACAACGAGGTCGAGTATGAGGCCGTAATTGCAGGATTGAAATTAGCCCTCAAGTATGGCACTCGATGACTCGTCCTTCACTGTGACTCCCAACTCGTGGTAAATCAAGTTACTGGGACTTTCCAAATCAAGGAACAGAGACTGCAGAAGTACTAGACAGAAATTCACAAACTACTACTAGAATTCGATGAATGCCGCCTCGACCAGATACCCCAGGCGCATAACATCGAAACAGACGGTCTCGCCAAACTAGCGGCAGCTACCAAAAAATCGAGCCCTCATCAGATGCCTCATCCGCGCAGGATACTACTAGCCTACCATGAAAAAAGAAGCCATGGATTATGTCAAGAAATATGAGCAATGCCAAAAATACGCTCCTATGATACACCAAGCAGGAGAACTCTTGCATTCCGTCACTTCTCCATGGCCATTTATAAAGTGGGGAATGGATATCGTCGGACCCCTCCCAGCAGGCCGAGGTAAGGTACGTTTCCTTTTGGTTTTAATTGATTATTTTTCCAAATGGGTGGAAGCAGGTGCATACACCCAAATACGAGAGAAAGAAGCCATCGCATTCATATGGAAAAATATAATATGCCGCTTCGGCATTCCTAAAAAAATCAACTGCGATAACGGACCTCAGTTCGTCGGGAAGAAAACGACTGAATTTTTTGAAAAATGGCGCATTAAACGGATACTCTCCACCCCATACCATCCTGCCGGTAACGGTCAAGATGAATCCTCCAACAAAAAGATATTAAATATATTGAAGAAGAAGCTCGAGGATGCCAATGGGCTATGGCCAGAATTGCTACCAGAGGTACTATGGGCATACCATACCACGCAAAAACCAGCATAGGCGAGACACTGTATTTGTTAGTCTATGGGACTGACATAGTTATACCTGTCGAGGTCGGAGAACTTAACATGAGATACTCTAATGAGAGTGGACCCAGCAACGACGAAAGCAGATTACAAGACCTGGATGAAGTCAAAGAGCGAAGGGATATTGCTCACATAAGAATGATAGCCCAAAAACAAGAAGCAAAAAGGTACTATAACAAGAAGTCCAAAGTATGACCACTCAGAGTCGGAGACTATGTTCTCAAACACAAAACACAAGCAGCGAAAGACCCGAATGAAGGAAAACTGGTAATAAACTGGGACGGGCCATATAAAATCACAGCAGCAGCAAACAAAGGAGCATTCTAATTTAGAGACAATGGAAGGAAAACTACTACAAAATAACTGGAATGTCGCCCACCTCAAATACTTCCACTTATGAAAAGAGATGCCGCCTACGTCGTACTCTTTTTCCCTCACCCGGGTTTTGTCCCAATCGGGTTTTCTCGGGGAGTTTTTAATGAGGCGATGAGGGAGACGTCTCAAGGTCAGAAGTACTGTTCATTGCCCTGCTTGCTGACGTCATCTCCAAGATGAGCAATGAAGGGACTAGGTATAAAGAATCTCCAGTGTATGTACGAAATCGACATGTATCGCCATTGTAGGTATAAAGAATCTCCATTGTGTGTACGAAATCGACATGTATCGCCATTGTTGGTATAAAGAATCTCCATTGTAGGCACGAAGTCAACATATATTTTCGATAGGAATATAATCACTCCATTATGTATACAACATCAACACGCGTCTCCAATGCATGAATGAAATCGGCATATGCGACACTCCAGCAAATACAATAGAATGCCATCCTCACGACGGGATACTACTTCGGCACTAGCTCGAAAGTAACATCCTAATGGCTTACGCCATCATCAAAAAATGAGTTCGACATCACTTGAACTATGAAGGGATACTACTTCGGCACCAGCTCGAAAGTAACATCCCAATGGCTAAGGCCATCATCAAAGATATGAGTTCGACGTAGTTCGAAACACGATGGGGTACTACTTCGGCACCAGCTCAAAAGTAACATCCCAATGGCTAAGGCCATCATCAAAGATATGAGTTCGACGTAGTTCGAAACACGATGGGGTACTACTTCGGCACCAGCTCAAAAGTAACATCCCAATGGCTAAGGCCATCATCAAAGATATGAGTTCGACGTAGTTCGAAACACGATGGGGTACTACTTCGGCACCAGCTCAAAAGTAACATCCCAATGGCTAAGGCCATCATCAAAAAATGAGTTTGACATCACTCAAACTACGACAGGATACTACTTCGGCACCAGCTCAAAATCAACATCCCAATGGCTAAGACCATCATCAAAGATATGAGTTCAACGTACTTCAAACCACGACGGGATACTACTTTGGCACCAAATCAAAAGCAACATCCCAATGGCTAAGGCCATCATCAAAGATATGAGTTCAACGTATTTCGAACCATGACGTGATACTACTTCGGTACCAGCTCGAAAGTAACATCCTAATGGCTAAGGTCATCGGTCAAAAAATGAGATCGACATCACTCGAACTACGACTGGATACTACTTCGGCACCAGCTCGAAAGTAACATCCCAATGGCCAAGGTCATCATCAAAGAAATGAGTTCGACATCACTCAAACTACGACGGGATACTACTTTGGCACCAGCTCAAAAGTAACATCCCGATGGCTAAGGCCATCGTCAAAGAAATGAGTTAGGCCTTATTCGAACCACGACGGGTCACTACTTCGGCACTAGATCGAAAATAACATCCCGAGGGCTAAGACCATCGTCAAAGAAATTAGTTTGAATTCACTCGAAACACAACGGGTTTAATATTTTGGCAAAGGTTCGGAATAACATGAATGCAGCAAAGGTTACCACCGAATCGACAAAACAATTTTTCATTACAACAAATATATTACAAGTACTTGTCTTTACAAAGGGCTTAAAGACGCCCTTACAAAAATTGCGAAGCAAAAGTAAATACAAACCAAATACTACACATCATTCCTGGTGGCATACATATTTTCTTACCAAGAGTCGGAGGCAAGTCTGTTCGCATCATCAGAACTAATATCATCCCCGTCAGGCGTGAGGGGATCGTATCCGCATGCCTCACAAGCTGCACGGGCCTTGTCACGCACATCCCGAAGCTCTACTTCGGACGCCCTCCCGTCAACATGAAAAGCCTTATAAACATCGAGCTGGGCTTCAGCGTGAACCCATAACTCATACAAATGTCGAGGCACGACAAGATCAACCCAAGCATGAGATGTAGAAGGCTACGACCGTCGTTGTAAGTCCTCCATTTTCGAAGAAGCCACTTGCTCATTTAACGCGGACAGTTCCGCCTCCAACCCTTGAATACACCCCTCAAGTCCCGCTATCTTAAGCACAGATGCCTCCATCTCTTTGGCCCGCTCCAACCTGCAAACACGGAGGGCATCTTATAAAACTTTTGCCTTAGAGATAGTAGTCACCCTCTCCCTCTCGACGTGGGCCAATCTATCAGCTTTTGCGCTCAATTCACCCTTAAGATCATCGAACTCCGTCGTCTTTATATCTAGTTCGGTAGTTAAATTGGCCACCTTTGCTTGGAGGTCGGCATTTTCGGTCACTACTCCCCTACTTAGCTCAAGCTCATCTTCCCTGACCTTAAGGGTTACCTCGAGCTCACTACTACGGGCAACGACCTTCATGAGGTCCTCGTCTCGTTCCTTCAACTCCTCGACCTTACGCACCAATTGATCCTCCCTCTGCTTAAGCCCTTCGCGAAATAGTTGGAAGTCGCGATCCTGATTGTAGATGTTGGCCATCGCACGATGCTTGGTGCGATATTCTTGATACTTAGAAGACATCTTTCCATAGACTGTCATCCTCCTCCTTTATTGGTGCTCACGCTCGATCTCCATGATAAAGGTCTAATACGAAAAGTAAGGTTAAAACAAAAGGATGGGCCAAAATTAGTAAAACAGATCTAATGATGGAAAGCAAAAAAAGACATTTACCCGCAAAGCCATGCCAAAAACGCTCCGTGACAACTCTGCATCACTCATCGTTCTAAGTGCCTCACTCTCAGGGGCAACACACAAAGGGGGGAAAATGGACGCCACCTGATCATAGTTCGACAGCAAGTCGTAGTCCCCGGGGACGACTATGTGTTGATCAGAACCCTCCGTTCTAACCTCTACACGAGTATGGCCCTCCAAAAACTCCCAAACTTCCCCCGGGTCGACGATCGAACCCGAGTCATCATCCTCGACGCGTAAGCCCCCTCCAACAGTTGATGACGCACCACCCTTAGCAGAGCGCACAAACCCCCCTCCTTGGTAAACTCCTTCTATCAGAGGAGACCTCCCCACCAAGATAGCGTTCGCCATAATTGCAGGTACAAGTGCCATCCCTAACGCACCCGTCCTACTCTTATCAGTCTAAACGACCACATCTTTCCCGAGCTCTACCCTTCTCTTTTTTCTCAACGAAGGTCCCTATAGAGGAATCGTCCAAGAGGTGATAGGCCAATAAAGAAGAAATCTCCTCCCTCACGACCATATCCCGAGAGGAATCTCTCACCTATACCAGTGGAGCAAGACCTCTCGGACAGACTCCTCCAAAGCAAATTGCATTCCCGCCGAGGCGACGGCTTGGCGAAATGCAGGAACTGGGGCTCTCCGCCTAGAAGCTCCACGACCTGTTATCACAAAAGTCGTATCAATAGATAATGGCAAACAACCGAAAAATAGTGTAGAGGAAAACACTTACCAGATGAGACATTCGGCCCAAAATGTTTCATAAAAGTGTGCCCGTCTCGAGTCTCTACTGCGTGAGCTAGTAAACGGGACACCCAGTCCTTTATACCGGTAATGGGATGGGGTGTATACCCCACAGCTACAAAAGAAAGTCGTGGATAAGTAAAAAATCGAACAGAAAACAAAAAAGAATAGTAGTAAAAAAGTTACGACAACTACGATTATTATTCCACCGCTCCGGGAATCCAGTGGGGTTTGACACAATATGTTCAGTTCTGATAAAAAAATACTTATGCCAAAACTTACAGCTCGCCTGGTCGTCAGTTCCGACCACCATCCATTTGGTTCCACGATGCCTCAAGTGTACCATAGTACCCCTGTGAAAACTGGGGGAAAACAAGTGCAAGAGATGGTGAATATCGACTTTGCACCCCGCCAACTCCCTTTATTTTGTCAACACCAAAAATATTTTATACGTGTACGGAGAGAGTTGCGCAGGGCAAACTCGATAAAACCGACAGAATTCTTCCGCTAACAGAAGAAGGGGGAAGGAATGACTGATTACAAAAAGGTATTCATAAAAAGCACAGTACCCCCATCTGTGAACCTCCATGAGGTCCCTCCCTGCCGGAACCATCTTGAAGTGAGGGGGAATGCTATACTTGGTACGTAAGGCATTTATATGGGCTTGCTCGGTTTCATATATCACCGGGGTGGGAGTAGGAGCAGGTTCCTTAAGAAAGTCACTTCGAGACATGGGGTGTCTCAGTAATAACTCGTCTACGGTGAGAAAACTACCCCCTTCCCCAGCCATCGCATCCTCGCCACCATTAGGAAGCGCTACGAATAACGGAGTGGCGTCAGAATTTCCGTCACGTGATCGGTGTGTTCTAGGCATGTCTATGGAGGAAGATGTGGTAATGAAATGAAAGAGACCAAGAACAATGAACAGGAAAGAGAAATGAATAAATTCGTAGAAGCAAAGCTAAAAATACGAAAGGGAATAATCAGAAGAGAAATAGCCAAGAATTTTTGAAAAAACAAACCCTTCCCCTATTTATAGGGTTGGATGGCGCCACAATCGAAGTGAAAGGCTTCCCATGGCAGCAAAACCAAAGCGATAGGCCATCAATCTCTACCTCGGGAAGATGCGCAAAGATGAAGTACGTGGAAGTGACGTCTGTCATGACCCGGTCGTGATGGCGCCTCTCGTGAAGACAAGGCCAACCAACTAAACCCAATTCACTTTTCAAAATAGTTTAACAATATAACAGCAGTCTATACATGATTTAATAATAATAAATAGCGAAAATACAACCCGACACAGCCCTAACCGGGGTGTTACAAGTCACGAGCATCTACTAGGGTATTAATACAACTAAAGGCCTAAAGTGTACAAATACGACTACTGAAATGAAGAGAGAAGAGCAATACTGC